GTCATTTTGGTGTCACCACTGCAATGGTGTCACCTGGGTGCGGGCTGCACCCCCCTTGTGAAGCCAGTGAATGCGGTTGCCTCCCACACTTCAAAGGGTTAAGTGCTCTTTTTTTGTCTAGGACAGGGTTGGGCAAGCTCCAGCCCTCCCGCTGTGATGAAACTACAAATCCCATGATGTATCTGTCTCTAGGGGGCCATGCCTGTGGCTCCGAGAATCTTCCAATGCCTCATGGGATTTGTAGTTCCATGACAGCTGGAGGGTCGGTGTTTGCCAACCTGACCCCAATCCTCTGAGATGGCTAGGTCTTAGACTGGTCCCTGGAGCCTCTCTCCCTCTCCACTGCAGCGGTCTAAGGTCCCGTAAATTATCACATTCTATACACATTGGGGGGAATTTATCAAAACTGGAGCAAACAATCTGGAGCAGTTGCCCATGGCTGCGTGCACGGCTGTATCGGGCAGCTCCCGGGAAGGACAGGTGCTGCATGTGATTAGTACGCAGCCCCCGTCCTTCTCTATGGGAGTATGCGGCTGTATGCCCTCCTACGCTCACCCCAAGTGTAGCTCCGTACGGGTGCGGGTGTCCCGGCTCGGACACAGACAGGATCCATTCAGTCAGCGTACGAGTACGGACACCCGCACCCGTATGGACCTGCACTTAGGGTGCGCGTAGGGCGGCATACAGCCGCATACTCCCATAGAGAAGGACGGGGGCTGCTGACTAATCACATGCAACACCTGTCCTTCCCAGGAGCTGCCCGATACAGCCGTGCAAGCAGCACGGAGCTGTACGTGCCGGCCGTTCCTCGTGTGAATCAGGCCTTAATGGAAACGCGCCGATCAGTGCGTTTTGTGTGTTTGTGTGCGTTTTTTTAGTGCGTTTTTGCAACTGAGAATTCTTTTCATTGGACAACTGTAAAATTAGCTGAAAAGACGCCTTAGATTGATAATGCTTATGAACAAAAAATGCGTTAAAACGCGAATAAAAAAACTTGCAGAAAAAAGCCTCCTCAAGTCCTCACGTCACCCTAAGCTCAGTATACCGCAAGCTACAGCTCGCGGTATACTGAGACGCCGCAGCCGGGATGTCGCGATCTGCCCAGCTGCGTGAGTGACAGCTGGCTCTTCCTATCTAGAGGCAGAGCCAGCTGTACCCGCCCCCTCCCCCATCCGTTCCGCCAGTCAGCGCTGGAGGATCGGAGCGGGGAGAGGGGAATCCAGCCCCTCCCCTATCACGGCAGAGAGCCATGAAAGGATCGAGAAGTAAGCGAACACCGGTATGTGTTCGCTCACCTCCCGATCTACTGAGCCGACCTGTGACAGTCTCATTGTCACAGGTCGGCTAGAACTATGAGGTGAGTGAAAAGCACTCACCTCATAGTTCTCCTTTAAATTATTTCAGAAAGTCAAACAGTGCTGTGAAAATGGAACACGCTGGCTGTTGGAGTAAAAATAACACTTTGTCAGAAATAAGAATGTCATTCATCAGCTATTAATGAGGGGTCGGACTGCAGTTCATTGTATTTCATTGACTTCATGCTGTCATTAATTTCACAGGATGTATTCACACTAGCAGTGAACAGGTGCGGATTATGACTCAAGGGTCTAAGCGGTTCCCGGTTGAGTCCGCATACATATAGATATTTGCTCAATCACAGAGTAATTGTTTCCATTGTAGGTGGAGAGGACATGCTTTTTAATTTCCATTTATAGCGTAGTTATGTTTTCAGTTAAACCTGAACTAATTTAATGCAATTTTGTATTCTTTGTAAACATAAAATGTATTTGTACATACAGCTAGCAAAAGTACCTAAATCCCTGTTTTCGTGCGTTTCTGATCGCGCAACTGTTCATGGATGAGTGCGTTTGTCATTTGTTTTGCTTGACTGATTTGGTGCAGTGATGCATGGGGGTTGACAAACCTGCACCCAATTTAATCTTCTGCCACATGTGCTCCAAGACGGACACTCTCATAGTTTAGAGTTAGGACTCCACTATAAGAGGTGCCTTGGCGCGGCTGTGCGGCTTTCACATTTTCTGCAGAAGACGAGTATCTAAACCTCTGTTTTTAACCTTAGTGGTGAGACAAGTTTTTTTACATGCTGGCTGGTTAGTGTGCTAGGAAACCTTTTTCATGTTCATGGTAAACCAAGCGATTACCACGCGTTTTTCAATGCATGGAGATGTCTATGGGACTGTGTGACAACTGCCCGAAAATAGCTCCTGCACCTTTTTGCGCGACAAACCGCAAAAGGTGTGAGCAGCCTCCATTGACTGCAATGCGAATCTGTGTTTTGCGCGATATCGCATGACTCAAACAGCGCGATAAATCGCCTAGGTGTGCACTGGCCCTAAGTATAGGAAGCGCCCCCACCACCCAAAAAAAACAACACATTTCCTCCATACAGGTTTCCAAAATACGCTGGAAACTGGACTGGACTCTTATTAGATACAGGTGCTCCTAAATGTCACTCCCCGCCCTGTGTGGCGTGCTATTTTAGTGGGGTTGCTGTTGGATCACAATGACGCGTTTCTGACTTACACTAAGGCCGTGTGAGGCAGAAACGCATTGTACAGATGCGTGTGGAATAAAATTTGATTCTCTTTGGAAGATCATTGTGTGCTGGTTTGACAGTTTTTGAAGCCTAGTAGACCCTATACAAAGAGAAATATGCAGGCTGCCTTTGTTAACTTGCCATTTCTGTCTTCAAAGCGATTGTTTGAGTCACTGGCACAGAACAAGTATTCACTAACTATGATTACCTGATCTGCGTACTTCTTTAGGGCTTGTTCACACGATTTTCTGGTCCAGATCTGGAGACGCGGTGCTATGCATGCAGCGCGTTTTTGATGTGTTCCAGTTAAAAAAAATATATATATATCTTATTTTTATTTTGGTTGGAGTGGGGCTGTCAGTATGTTAGCTGCAGTGCATTTAACGCGCTTGTGCATTTCCGGACCGGACAAAATGTAACATGCAGTATTTTTTCTGTCCGGACCGGAACGCGATTGTGAGAACTGTAGTCCATAAAACACAAAGGTGTAATTTGGGATTTATTTTGGGTGTAGGAGCGCACAGATCTGGTCCGGACAGTATCCGGACGTCGTGTGAACAGGCCCTTAGGCCTTGTTCACACCGAAAGCGTGTGCTTTCCAGAGCGGCAGCTGCTGGAACGCACCGCGATCGCTGAGAAACTTCCCCTTGCGTTTTGGGGAGGGGGGCGTGGCATTGTATTAAATGGCACCGCTTCCACGCCCCCCCGCCCGCAGTGCGATCGGACGCCTGGCAAAACTTTTTCCAAAACTGGCTTGCACTAGTTTTTGCTTTGCAGTGGAACAGAACGCTGGCAAAGTTTTGCCGCGCGTTAGATCGCACTGTGGCGGGAAGTTTCTCAGCGATCGCGGTGCGTTCCAGCAGCAACCGCTCTGGAACGCACATGCTTTCGGTGTGAACAAGCTGAAGGAAACATTGAAACCACCGGATCAGTATGATAGCCAGGCTACCACTATTTTCAGAAGGAAAAGTCACCAGTGCCAGGCTACATATTTCTCTAAGCACAGGTCAGTTTTCCCAGACAACCATGTTCCCGGCGACCATGGCATTTCACAAAGTGGGTTCCAGTGATGAGATGATCATCAATGTCTGAGTGGAGACCATATCAGTGTTTGTACAAGCTCCACAAATGCTGGTGGTTGAGGTAGAAAGAAGGGTCGGGGGTGTAGAGTCATGTTGAAGGTACTACGCAGTTCTGTACACATGATCTCATCTTTATTTATATTACAATATAATATCTGATCACTTCATACAGTGCGACTTTCTCTTATTAAATACATAGAGCACATTTTTCTATATCGTATAAATAAAGCCGTCAAAATATAAGAAAAGTAAGGGGTCAGTTTATTCAAATTGATAATTCAATAGAAGTATCAACTGACCAAAATTACCTTGATTCCTTCAATCTCTGAAATTCCAGTGGCTGGATCTCTGAAACCAAGCACCCTGGCTCTACACCCCCTGCAATGAGGTCTCCCCCTTCTCTTGCTGCATTGTTCCATTATCTCAAGTAAAGGAAAAGTCCAATGGTAACAGCCTAGAATAGTCATGGCTAGTTAGCAGACCTGGGAACTTAGAAGCACAGATCTCCAAATTAACCAACTAATCTGGGAAAGCTGGCAGGTGGTCTAATCTGCAGAAAACTGAAATACCTGCATTAAATGGACAAGGCTTTTAAAGGAGAACTATGGGGTAAGTGTTTTTCCCCATAGTTCTAAGGGTCACGGGAGGACATAAACTAGCGTCCTCCCGTGACCCAAAGCTCAGTATATCGCGAGCTACAGCTCGCGATATACCGAGACCGCCACAGCCGGGATGGATCCCGACATTACTGTCTGAATCTGCCCAGCTGCGTGATCGACAGCTGGTTCTTCCTATCTAGAGGCAGAGCCAGCTGTACCCGCCCCCTCCCCCGTCCGTTCCGCCAGTCAGCATGCCGACGTGTGACAGTTTCATTGTCACACGTCGTCTAGAACTATGAGGTTGAGTGAAAATCACTCACCTCATAGTTCTCCTTTAAGCAAAACCAAGTTTCCCCAGATGACACATCATGAGTCCTTTGAAGGAGGCAATAGTCTGAGCCTTACTTATTATTCTTACTTATAAGAGCTGTTTCCTTGTTGGAAGACCTTCTTCTAGAAAAGTCATGGCCTATGAAGCCGGAGCGACCATTAAACACACGTTAAAAGCTAGATTTCTACACAAGAAAAACTTCACACTGTGTTTCAGCTCACTCCACAAGGCATTTAAGTGTTGGATTAAAGTAGCTCTTCAGACCGTTCCAACTTGTCTTCTCAGATCAATACAGAATTCCATCTTCACATAATTATTCAAGCATATGGATAGAACTATCCAAGTGTATCTGTGGTATAAACTGGAAATAAAGAGCTTCCCCACAGCTTCTGGACTCAAGGGTGGCCCAGCCACAGCAGACACAGCATTACGTTAAACAGTTTGTGCTCTATAAGCCAGAGTGTTGGCCTCATTGCTGCCGTTGTTCCAGCAAAGACTCAAAATCTGGTGAACAGACAAGTTTATGCTGAACATGTCCAAGAACCATCATCTCTCCTCGACGGGCTTCCCCAACACCGACCGACACCAGCTCCTATAAAAGAGAACGCAGAAGTTATTGTACATCATTTAGCCCTCATTCACACTAGAAAAGGCCGGCACGTACAATTCCGTGCTGCGTGCAGGGCCGTATCGGGCAGCTCCCGGCAAGGACAGGTGCTGCGTGTGATTAGTACGCTGCCCCTCTCCTTCTCTATCGGACTACGCGGCTGTACGCCGCCCTACGCTCACCCCAAGTGCAGGTCTGTACGGGTGTCCCGGCTCGGACGCAGACAGCATCCATCCTGTCAGCATAGGAGTACGGATACCCACACAGACTTGCAGGGTGGGCGAACGTAGGGCGGCGTACGGCCGCGTACTCCCGTAGAGAAGGACGGGGGCTGCGTACTAATCACACGCAGCGCCCGTCCTTCCCAGGAGCTGCACAATACAGCCGTGCACGCAGCACAGAGCTGTACGTGCCGGCCTTTTCTAGTGTGAATGAGGGCTTAAAGGCGAAGGTCACTTTTGAATAAAATTGACTATGCTGTCAAAGGGGTTCCAGTAGCTTAAAAAACACTTTGCAGCTTAGAAAAATGCTGATTAGTTTAAATACCATAGCTGCAGGCCATGAGCGGACGTACCCTTTAAGCAGCAATCAGCACCAAGACTGAGATGCTAGGTTACATTACCAATAGGGGCACTGTATATAGCATGTGTGTTACATTTTATTTGGTGTTAGTGCAGTTGCAGCTTCCTCAGCTTCTACTCACCCTGGCCCAAGAATCTATGACTATGGTGCGAGCATTATAAATGTTCCTTAGGAGATGGCAAATTATGTGAAAAGCTCAGGGTTCTTTATATAGCACTATGGAAAACGCTTTAACTGTAAAGAGTCTTAAAATATTTGTGTAGTCTTGATGCCATTGTAGTGAAAAAAAGAGATTAAGGGGTGTATTTATAAAGTGTTCATAGAGCGAACAGCTCTGCGAGCATCTGACTTTTAGATTTGCAGCACATTATGGCCACTAGATGGAGCCGAGCATACTAATTTCCTATGCGCCTCGGCTTCGTCTAGCTGTTTGCAGAGCTTTCGCTCTATGAATGTTTTATAAATATACTTCTATGTGTTATTGGGGGGGTCGGGGAGTCCCTCCTAATGGCTTGTTTTAGGAGTTAGGTTTATGTTTATATTAGTTCTCAATAGAATGAACTGTGAATTAGATTGATCACCTGCAGGAAGGAGGTGGAAGTTCCCAACGTGACATCGAGTGTAACCTTGCCCAAAGCAAGCTGCACTTTGCCTGATTTACGCACAACTAGCTTTCCGATCTGTCCCTCAGACACATTGCGCAATGAACAGATTTCCTCTGCTGCTGGTGTCTCCTGCAGAAAGAAAAAACAAATGATATAATCACAGCTTCAACAAAATATCAAAGTGAAGTGTTGGTCCGTTCAATCTGATATCTCAGTTAAAATATCAACTGACCAAAATCACCTTTATTTCCTAAATCTCTGAAATTCCAGCAGCTGGATCTCTAAACCCAAGCACCCTGGCTCTACACCCTCTGCAGTGGGGGTTCCTTCTCTTGCTGCATTGTTCCATTATCTCAAGTAAAGGACAATGGCAAGAGCCCAGTATCCCTAAGTACAATTTTACGGGTGCCATATGCCATGCTACAGGCTGCCTGTAGTGTGACCTCAAGATCTTCTCAAGAACGGACATGAGCAGGATGAGGAGCACATACCTATAAATCTCAAATGACTGTCACCCTGGTGTCATGCAAGAGAAATAAGTATACTTTTATTATGGATCATATAAAACCAACAACCCTGCTCCTCCGAGGTAATCATTGGCCACCAATGTGCAGCGTCTGCCTGAAATCTGTACAACTCGTGTCTGTCTTGGCCTTTAATACATGTAATAGACATTGGGGGGAGTTGATCAAAACTGGAGCAGACAGAATCTGGAGCAGTTGTCCATGGCTTCAGTTTGTTCAGTTAGGATATGAAAATGAAAAAGAGAACCTGATTGGTTGCCATCCACAGCTGCTCCAGATTTGGATAAATTCCCCCTCAATATGTTTGCCTATTAGGTGCAGAACCGGTGCATCGTATATGTGTACTGCTCTGAAGATTTTAGACAGAGGCTTTGCAATGCCAGGTAGGACCCACATTGAAGATCTAGGAGAAGCGAGGTTGCAGGTATATCTGTAAAAAATAAGTCAAGGCAACTGGACTTGCTGTATTTTTCTTGAAGACGTTTCACTGGTCATCCAACCAGCTTTCTCAATTCAGAATAACTTGTACAACATTTATCTGGGAATAAATATGGTGAATGTTGTAGGATGGGTACTTAACTGTCTTCAAAGGAGTGACCTTTTTTATTTAGGTTTAGGTATACTTGACTTAATTTTTACAGATATACCATGACCTGGATGAATGAGAACCTTCACAGATGAGGTTGCAGGTAGGTATGCTCTATAATAAAAGGTGCACTAATAGCACACCTATCCTTTATTTCTTTGGCAGAAAATGACATCCAACTGCAGACTGAAATAAAAAGGTTATTATTAACGCCATTGGATCCCAAAAAAATGAGTGTGTAAAATGATCTTTGTTATATGGACATTACTAATACTTCCCTTTGGGTGTGGCTAAATCGTCCAATGGTTTCTTAAAGTGAACATGACCTTTCAAGTCCTAATTTTAATTTTGTAAGCATTTCATATACCGCTGAAATTTACACTATGGTTTACATACTTTTACTCGTTGTAACCTCATCTTTTATATTTCATTTAAAAAATGGGTAATTTGTTGTGTTTTGGGGCATTTAATTAAATTTGTCACTAAATTTTGGGGTTTAATAAGGAGTTGCGCTAATATTGCGCAACATAAACATTTTCAACTACCACCATTTTATTCTATAGGGTCTTGGCATTCAGAAAATATATAATGTTGGGGGGGTTTTACGTCATTTTCAGGCCTAAAATGTGGAATATAACATGGGTGCAAAAATGGAAAAAAGGGCCTCAGTCATGAAGGGGTTAAAATCCCTCCTAGGAGTAGACACGAATCCTTCTCTGTGTGTCCGATTTAGCACAGCTTAAATTGAATGCACGTCCCGTACACACCTGACTTTTGTCCTTGACTAGTAACACATGACCATCCTCAGTTTGCACTTCACTGCGGACAGGTCGAGATTCCTGGGTAAGTGGCTGTCCTGGGAGTGTGTCTGGGAGCTGCACAAAGAAAAGAGCGTCCTCTCCCGAGATCCCCAGAGATTCCAACAACTCCGGCAGTGGCACATCCTTCTTTTCCGGTGGCTTCTTCACTACAGGGGCCTTGCACTGGGGAACTCCAGGTTTCACATCATCATCCTCATTTTCCATTGGTTCTTCCTTTACTAAAAAGACAAAATTCAAAACACAAATATCCTACATTATTACAGTTCTCTTGCAGTCTATTATCCATGCAGTCCAATCTAAATCATGACAATTACTCATTAATTTTATGTAAAAGACACCATTGCTAATGTTCCCTTAAAGGGTAACTCCACTTTTGTTGAGAAAAATCAATCTCCTCTGGGTGATCCATGCACATTGCGAGGATATTAACAAACTTTGTTGCCGTTTCCTACCTCTTTCTGTTCCACATAAAAAGCTGTTTGTTGAACCATGTCCTTTCCAAACTGATCCCTGAACGGGAGGGCCTGATCCCTGAACGGCAGGGCCTGATCCCTGAACGGCAGGGCCTGATCCCTGAACGGCAGGGCCTGATCCCTGATTGGTAGCTGACCTCCCACACTGCATGCTTTTGTGTCATCCAGTGAGAAGCATTTTTGAAGGGAACAAAAGCCTGTCAATACAGGCCCTTAAACCCAGCTCTTTACTATAAAGAGAGGTGCACCAAAATGAAAATGTCAAAAACGAAACGAAAAAAATGTCAGGCTGAAACCGAAAATGTTTTTTATTCTAACTTTTGTTTTAACATTTTATTTGTATTTATTTTTTATAAAAAAAATAATTTTTTTATATTTTATTCATTCATTTTTAATATTTATTTATTTTTTACTTTACTTTTAGGGACTTCGGGGAAATATTGGGGGTCCCTTTTAGATAGTAAGCCCTCAGGGGCACGGCCCTCCTTACCATCTTGTCTTAAATTGTATTGTGATTGTAATGTCTTCCTTATATTGTAAAGCGCTGCGCAAACTGTTGGAGCTATATAAATCCTGTATAATAATAAACAGACCTCAGATATTTCCCTTTTAAAATAGAAAAAGAGATTGTGAACAATCTCTTTTTCTGCAGCCCCCGTTATCAATGAACAGGAATCCTCTATACTGAGTGTTCCTGTTCATTCATAACATGAGGACAGAGTGTGTTTACTATAACCACAATCATGAATGGACAGGAGATGATGTAGATAACTTCCCATTCATTCATAATTGAGGATATAATACCCATACTCTGTCTTCAATTATTTACAAACACTCAGCGATCACTGATCACCGAGTGCTTGTACCACTCTCGTTCCTGTGTCAGTGAGCGAGCCGAGCTCAGCCACCTGTGACAGCCCTGGCTGTCTCCGCCCCCACACCCCTCTCCTGGTCTGTCACAGGAGGATGAGCGGTGCGGGGAGGAGAGACGCCGGCCACTCACGGCGGGACACAGAGCAGCACACAGCGGGGAGGAGAGAAAGAACGGATGCACCGCTATATCGGCAAGAAAATGGCACTTTCTGCATTTTGCCAAAGATGCCATTTTCGGCCAATATGTTTCAGCGGCCGATATATGTGTGCATCCCTAGTTATAAATTATGGATTTTTTTTATATAGAACTCAGATATGTACCAGAATGTGTCTGGATATTCGTCTCCTGTAATAAACAGTGCAGCAGAGCAGAGGCAAGGACAACACTCTGAACCATTCAAAGCTTTATTTTTTACAGTGCTCTTAGTGACACAATGAACATGGTCAAACGAGCAAAGTGCAGTGGAATGACCTTATCTGTATGCTGCTGCTCCTCCTGGGTGATCCATGCACATTGCGAGGATATTAACAAACTTTGTTGCCGTTTCCTACCTCTTTCTGTTCCACATTAAATAGAAGGGAAGGCTCTGGACCAGTCTGCACAAAATAATTGCAGTGTAGTCTGTGCAAAAGTCCAGGAACTGTTTGTTCTGTCTGGAAGAGGTGGGTGGATCACATGTTGAACTAAATTACAGATCCTTTGGCAGGTAGAATAATTGACAGATGTGTTTCTGTATTAGCTGCTTTCCTGGCATCCAGCTTTAAGTAAGTGATCCCTTTTAAATGTACTAACCTTTGACAGATGAGGGGTCCACCTCCATCTGTTCTTCTTTGGGGACCATAGGCAGCGTGTCCTCCTCTTCATTGTCTTCCCTAAACAGCCACCCTGAATGTGCCAGTGGGAGCTGTACAGGATGGTTCTGCGCATCATTCTGTAAACCTGGGTCATTCAGAAACTGTAAAAGGACAGTAAACCATTGTTATACACCAGAAAAGAGAACTAAACCGTAATAATTTTTTTATATTTTATTCATTCATTTTTAATATTTATTTATTTTTTACTTTACTTTTAGGGACTTCGGGGAAATATTGGGGGTCCCTTTTAGATAGTAAGCCCTCAGGGGCACGGCCCTCCTTACCATCTTGTCTTAAATTGTATTGTGATTGTAATGTCTTCCTTATATTGTAAAGCGCTGCGCAAACTGTTGGAGCTATATAAATCCTGTATAATAATAAACAGACCTCAGATATTTCCCTTTTAAAATAGAAAAAGAGATTGTGAACAATCTCTTTTTCTGCAGCCCCCGTTATCAATGAACAGGAATCCTCTATACTGAGTGTTCCTGTTCATTCATAACATGAGGACAGAGTGTGTTTACTATAACCACAATCATGAATGGACAGGAGATGATGTAGATAACTTCCCATTCATTCATAATTGAGGATATAATACCCATACTCTGTCTTCAATTATTTACAAACACTCAGCGATCACTGATCACCGAGTGCTTGTACCACTCTCGTTCCTGTGTCAGTGAGCGAGCCGAGCTCAGCCACCTGTGACAGCCCTGGCTGTCTCCGCCCCCACACCCCTCTCCTGGTCTGTCACAGGAGGATGAGCGGTGCGGGGAGGAGAGACGCCGGCCACTCACGGCGGGACACAGAGCAGCACACAGCGGGGAGGAGAGAAAGAACGGATGCACCGCTATATCGGCAAGAAAATGGCACTTTCTGCATTTTGCCAAAGATGCCATTTTCGGCCAATATGTTTCAGCGGCCGATATATGTGTGCATCCCTAGTTATAAATTATGGATTTTTTTTATATAGAACTCAGATATGTACCAGAATGTGTCTGGATATTCGTCTCCTGTAATAAACAGTGCAGCAGAGCAGAGGCAAGGACAACACTCTGAACCATTCAAAGCTTTATTTTTTACAGTGCTCTTAGTGACACAATGAACATGGTCAAACGAGCAAAGTGCAGTGGAATGACCTTATCTGTATGCTGCTGCTCCTCCTGGGTGATCCATGCACATTGCGAGGATATTAACAAACTTTGTTGCCGTTTCCTACCTCTTTCTGTTCCACATTAAATAGAAGGGAAGGCTCTGGACCAGTCTGCACAAAATAATTGCAGTGTAGTCTGTGCAAAAGTCCAGGAACTGTTTGTTCTGTCTGGAAGAGGTGGGTGGATCACATGTTGAACTAAATTACAGATCCTTTGGCAGGTAGAATAATTGACAGATGTGTTTCTGTATTAGCTGCTTTCCTGGCATCCAGCTTTAAGTAAGTGATCCCTTTTAAATGTACTAACCTTTGACAGATGAGGGGTCCACCTCCATCTGTTCTTCTTTGGGGACCATAGGCAGCGTGTCCTCCTCTTCATTGTCTTCCCTAAACAGCCACCCTGAATGTGCCAGTGGGAGCTGTACAGGATGGTTCTGCGCATCATTCTGTAAACCTGGGTCATTCAGAAACTGTAAAAGGACAGTAAACCATTGTTATACACCAGAAAAGAGAACTAAACCGAGACTGACCACTAGGAGACCAAAGGAGAAGGGAAGCTTGGAAGAGAAGTGGCTGACGTGATATAACTAACTTACATTCACTAATGGAACAAAAATGTCCAAAGTTAGCCACACACAGCTGGTTCATGCTGAATTGGCAACAATTCAAGCCATCGGTGGCCCCGTCGGAACATCCCGGCTTTACATAAGTCGACTGAAAAATCAACTGAGCGGAAACAATGGTGGAAAAAATTCTGGCCCAAACAGAGACTGCATCCAATCAGTTCAAGGACAGAGGGACCAAGAATTCAATAGCCAGAGAAAGTGCCAAATTGTGAAATTAATCAAATACTATCCAGGATTCTAAGAACGTTTGTTTGGCGCTTTGTCTGGCTGAAATGCATATTGGGGGGAATTTATCAAAACTGGAGCAGACAAAAACTGGAGCAGCTGTGCATGGCAACCAATCAGCTTCTCTCTTTCATTTCCAAATCTTAACTGAGCAAACTGATAAGAGAAGCTGATTGGTTGCCATGCACAGCTGCTCCAGTTTTAATAAATTCCCCCCATTGACTTCTCAATTCGGGTAGCCTCTATTGTGAAGGGGAAGGGGGGCTTCCAAGCCATTTTTCTATACCAAGGACTCCAGTTTCTATTGATTGGGGATCCGTATTCATCACCTCGCTTCCATTTCTCTTTTGAATACAATAGCCAGCAGTGGAGATTCCACCATCCACGCTGTTTAGCATGGATGAAGGAATTGACTGATTTACTTGTTCAACCACTCAAACCATGTAAGCCTAAGATAAAAAAATGTAAACTGTTCATGCAATATGTTAATGATCCTACATACAGGGGCATATCATTGGGGGGAATTTATAAAAACTGGAGCAGACAAAATCTGGAGCTGCTGTGCACGGCAACCAATCACCACATTTTGTCTGCTCCAGTTTTGATAAATTCCCCTCATTCTGTATATTAGAATGACCAGGTAGGAGTGTTGACCTCAATCCCACTGTAATGCTGTGGGGTGATCTGAAGCAGACCGTTCAAGCAAAACAAGCCAAATATATACATTCCCTTTTGTCTTAAAGAAATGGGTGCTGTCTTAAATGTTCTGCATAGCGCTACACAATAGATGGCGCTGGCGAGTATAGGAATTTCCTATACTTCTCATCGCCATGTAGGGGCGCTAGTACCGTGCAAACGGTATACACCGGGCAGAAGCTTTATCAATGAACCCCTTAGTATTCAATCAACAAGCCCCTACACTGTAAACCATTTTTTCAATAAGAATTCAGAAATAAAATAACGTAAGTACGGTCCTTTAGATGTATTAGGAAATACAGGTCTTGCTGCCCAGCAGCTGTAATAGCTCCTATGAAACAGATAGAGGTTGATAACTGAGCAGCTATAATTATGCGTCAAGGTCAATTTGTCTTAAAGCGACGCTAAACTCAGGAGTTAAATCAAAAAAATGCATTCAGGTACCTTAACTATTAACAACAATGTCTCTTATTTGTGTATCACTCGGCTGTCGATCCTCCAATCATCTCTGAATTGGTGCCGACACTGTCCTTCCTTCTGGAGGGGGGCTACTCTTCCCCATGGTCCCTGTGTGTGTTAGGTAAAGTAGTCACCGCTCCAAGCTCGCTCCCAGAATGGACTACAAAGAATAAACTAAAGGTGAAATTGTAGTCCATCACTGGAGTGAGCTTGGAACAGGGGCTACTTTACAACACACACAGGGACCATGGGGAACAAAAATACCCCTCCCCCCTCCAGAAGGAAGGACATCATAGCAAGTAGCCTAACTATTAATATTGAACTCCTGAGTTCACGGTCACTTTAAGGAGGCTCAAGAAAGAACTAAAACAAACAGAAAGCCAAGTAAGGCATTTATGGAGTCAACCCACCTTATCATTTTTCAGCATTTGCAGGATCTGTTTAGTTTCTTCCTCAGTCTCCCTTTTCTCCCGTTTTATGTTGATGATGTGGGAGGGACCAAGATCCCCAGCATCAGATGGCCCGTCCCATGCAGCTAGAGATAAAAGAGAAAAATTGAATCAGTTTCCACCTTTATGGCAGAATCTCTATCAAATATATAAAAAAAGAACAGCAAAGGCACAAAGGTGTGAAAATCTAGGATGCTTGCTGAAAAATGTAAGGAAGCAAATCGAGGCAGTGACCAAGTTGCTGGAGATATGTACATACATTAACTTTTATATGCGGTGTGCTCAAAGGCATGACATATTCCCTGATGAGGATGAAGATTCATGAAATGTGTTGGCTTTTGGTACATGCTTAGGAATCAAGAACCTACTAATATTGAGATCATGTATTGTCACATGTCATATGCCAAGTCTCAGTGTATGTTTCTTCTTAGAAACCAATCAGCGTGTTTTAAGCCCATCTACAGGCGTCACACTTTCACCTTCAGCTGCCCCCTCCCTCCCCTGAAATGTCCCCCCACATGTTTTTTATGCGTTTTGTTTTTTCCAATTAACTTCTTCAAAGTATCCAGGCCAGTCACATGATGCCCCATCATTCTCTTCACCTCTTCTCCAGTCCTTAACGATACAGAGAGCATGGCTGACATGATATCAGCACCATTACATATTGAATGCAGGGTGCCATGGTGGCTGCCCCTAACATTCAGCACTTAGCATGCCCCCAGTCTTCCGCGTTGAGTCACTTCATCTAACCCAGAAAAGCTAAGACCTCTTGTGGTGGAGAAGAGGTACTGTGTGGAAAAGCTATGGATTGAGGGCGAGTATTGCAGCCTTACTTTAATTTTATTTTTTTTGGACATTTAATTTTTTGGACACAGCCTAGGGGTCCAATAAAAAATAATCACGGGTTTGACTTTAGGCTGGGCTCACACTTTTTCCAAAATGTCCTTTAAAACAGACATGGACTATATCTGCCAAGCAATGTACCGCAACGTATGGTAATATGGGTGTTGTGGCGCACTGCAACACGTGCATAGGAGCTGCATTGCCTTACTGTGTTCAGAAGCCATTCAGAATGAATGCCAGTGCAAGGCACTAACACATGTAATGTGTGCTAACATTGTGTTAATATCTGCTAACATTGTGTTAATATCTGCAACGCACCGCAGCGGGAAAGTGTGAACCCAGTTTAAAGCATATCATGGCACCTAAAGAAGGCAGTCTAATTTCTTAAATATATCTGCTAGTAGGACCGATCCTTCCCTGTGCTATAGAGCAGAAGACAGGATCAAAGTACTGCACATGGACCGATATCCTCATCGGCCAGGTATTACATTGGGTCCAGAAGCTCAGGTCATTCCTTCATTTATGAGCAGATATTCCTCTGCCTGTCATTCTCAGGGAGTTAGCCTTCTGTCTACGAATAAGGTCTGTGATTGGCGGCTTAGATACATTACTTAAAGGAAAACTATGAGGCAAGTGCTTTTCACTCACCTCATAGTTCTAGCCGACCTGTGACAATGAGACTGTCACAGGTCGGCTCAGTAGATCGGGAGGTGAGCGAACACATACCAGCGTTCGCTCACCACTCGATCCTGTCACGGCTCTCTGCCGTGACAGGGGAGGGGCTGGATTCCCCCCTCCCCGATCCGCCAGCACTGGCTGGCGGAACGGACGGGGGAGGGGGCGGGTTTACAGCTGGCTCTGCCTCTAGAGATAGGCAGAGCCAGCTGTCACTCACGCAGCTGGGCGGATCTCGACATCGATGTCGGGATCCGCTCCCGCATCTCAGTATACCGCGAGCAGCAGGGTGATGGGAGGACGCTAGTTTGTGTCCTCCCGTTACCCTAAGGAGAACTATGGGGAAAAGCCCTGACCCCATAGTTCTCGTTTAATAAGAATGAGGTGTAAAAAAAAAACAACAGTCCATCGGGTTCAACCAATACTAATCCAATCTCCCATAAGCATTACTTTTCTTTTTGAGCTGCTCTGCTGGTCCCTGCTCAAAGATGGAGTGACTCTGGATAACTTGCGGCCTCCCTCGTCCCCTTCCTGGTCCATCTCCTCGGCGATCCCTATTACGTTCAGATCTGTCAACTTTTACAGAAACCTCTTCTTTTGGCCTAGATGAAGAGGAAAATGCAAATTAAAAGAATGCACAAGAGTAGAATGCAAATGCAGAATAATAATCATGGGTTAGAGTAAGCAGTAGTTATATGTAGGGGAGACTTTAACCCGCTGACTAGCTTCGATCCCCACAGAGGAGAGTGGTTCGATCTACTGACCAGGGTTTCCAAATCCGTGGAGTCTGACTCTTTCTGCTGTAGTAGGAACATCTACTCCTTGGGTAGGCAACCTCGGCAGCCAAGCTGTTGTGGAATTACAAGTCCCGTGAGGCATTGCAAGACTCAGAGCCAAAGGCATGACTCCCAGAGGCACTATAAGATTTGTAGTTTCACCACAGCTAGAGCATCGAGGTTGCCTCCCCTTGATCTACTCTATTTACAATATCCATACTATAAACTGAACAGAGTTACTGAGTAGTTCTCTCATAACACTGACATTCCTCAAAATGTTCAATCTGGCAATATAAGGGATATCTGCCATGGGAGGAATACTGCTGACCTCCCCTGAATATGCTTGCTGCCTCGCTGTCCTTTGCCTCCATTTCTGAAAACAGTGAACTGACAAAAAGATGCAGCAGGTAACAGGTAGAACCCCCTAATCTATATAACTTCTTGCAAGTCCGTGACTCAAATGACTGAAACCAGAGGATGAACATGATGGCTAGATAACTAGCACTTTCAAAGGGAGATCAGCAATGGTAGTTGACATACTTCTCTCATGACAGGTTTCCTTTAGGCTACGTTCACACTATGTGCGGTGACCTGGGTACGTAGAAAACAATTGTATTCTAAGTGCCCCGCTCACACCACAATGTGGGTGTGATATCCAGCGCACCATGTCTGCGTTTTTCCGCAGCACAGTGGATTGGCACCACAGGTCACCGCTCCGCAGCACACCAAAGCTTCTGTGACCTGAATATAGTTAGATATACAGTGGCTTGCAAAAGTGACTTTGTTTTCTATTTTGTTGCATTACCACCTGGAATTAAAATGGATTTTTATTTGGATTTCATGTTATCGACATTCACAAAATAGTCCAAAATGGTGAAGGGAAAGCAAGAAAATAACTTGTTTGCTATGAAGCCCCTACATAAGATCCGGTGCAACCAATTACATTCAGAAGTCCCATAATTAGTTCCTTACAGCCCACCTGTGTGCAATCCAAGTGTCACATGACTTCAGTATACAGTGTATATACACCTGTGTGCAATCCAAGTGTCACATGACTTCAGTATATATACACCTGTGTGCAATCCAAGTGTCACATGACTTCAGTATATATACACCTGTGTGCAATCCAAGTGTCACATGACTTCAGTATATATACACCTGTGTGCAATCTAACGGTCACATGATCTCAGTATATAAATACCTGTTCTGAAAGACCCCAGAGTCTGCAAAACCACCAAGCAAGCGGCACCATGAAGACCAAGGAGCTCTACAAACAGGTCAGGGACAAAGTTGTGGAGAAGTACAGATCAGGGGGGGTTATAAATAAAATATCCAAAACTTTGAACATCCCATGGACCACCATTAAATCCATTATTAGAAAATGGAAAGAATATGGCACCACAACAAGCCTACCAAGAGAGGCCCGCCCACCAAAACTCCCTGACCAGGCAAGGAGGGTAATAATCAGAGAGGCAACAAAGAGACCAAAGATAACCCTGAGGGAGCTGCAAAGCTCCACGGTGGAGATTGGGGCATCTGTCCATAGGACCACTTGAAGCCGTACACTCACCAGAGCTGGCCTTATGGAAGGGTGGCCAGGAAAAAGCCATTGCTTACAGAAAAAAATAAGCAAACAGTTTTCTGTTCGCCAAATGGCATGTGGGAGACCCCCGAACATATGGAAGAAGGTGCTCTGGTCAGATGAGACTATAAATTGAGCTTTTTGGCCTTAGAGGAAAACACAATGTCTGGCGCAAATCCATACCCTCGCATCACCCAAAGAACACCATCCCCACAGTGAAGCATGGTGGGGGCAGCATCATGCTGCAGAGATGTTTTTCATTGGCAGGGATCGGCAAACTGGTCAGAATTGAAGGAATGATGGATAGCGCTAAATACTGGGAGATTCTTGAGGGAAACCTGTTTCAGTCCACCAGAGATTTAAGACTGGGACGGAGGTTCACCTTCCAGCAGGACAATGACCCGAAGCATACTGCTACAGCAACACTCGAGTGGTTTAAGGGGAAACATTTAAATGTCTTGGAATGGCCTAGTCAAAGCCCAGACCTCAATCCAATTGACAATCTGTGGCATGACTTAAAGATTGCTGCACACCAGCGAAACCCATCCAACTTGAAGGATCCGGAACAGTTTTGCCTTGAAGAATACACAAAAATCCCAGTGGCTAGATGTGCCAAGCTTATAGAGACGTACTGCAATGGACTTGCTGCTGTAATTGCAGCAAAAGGTGGTTCTACAAAGTATTGACTTTGGGGGGGGGGGGGTGAATAGTTATGTACGCTCATGTTTTCTGTTTTTTTGTCTTATTCCTTAATTGCATCACAAAAAATATTTTGCATCTTCAAAGTGGTATTATTATTACACAGGATTTATATAGCGCCAACAGTTTGCGCAGCGCTTTACAATATAAGGAAGACATTACAGTTACAATACAAGACAAGATGGTAAGGAGGTCCCGGCCCGTAAGGGCTTACAATGTAAAAGGGAGGGAGAAGTGATACATGAGGAGGTGAAGCGGTAGGCATGCTGTGTAAATCAAATGATACAAACCCCCAAAAATCTATTTTTGGGGGGTGGTAATGCAACGAAATAAGAAAAATACTATGGAGGGGGTGAGGACTTTTTAAGCCAGCCAATGTACCACACGTGGAAAAACCGGACAACTAGAATAATGTGAAAGGTGAATAGTCAAGATACTCACTCTTCTTTAATCTTCCGGCTAATTATATTTGGAGCAAAGGTTTTCTGTAAAAAAATAAAAAAAAGTCACAAAACATGAATTTAAATGAAGCAATTACCAAGATCTTCCCCGTCCTACAATCACAATGTACTCTTGTATTAAAAGAACTAAAAACAAAAAAGCAGGAGTTCCACTTTAACCTATATGCCTGTGCTAAACCTTAGGACATGGATATGAAAGTAGATCCCACCTTCCGGACACCACCGAGGGTAAGATCCCTGGAGCGGATAGACGGGAGGCGGCCTGGGGTCAGGGGAGTTGAAGGTCTGCGTCCCACCAGTCCTCTGCCCCCTGATATCTGGGGCCTTGGACCAGAGTCATTCTTCTGAGCTCCCTCAGACATCCTGTAGGAAGGAAAGAAAACATCACTGGATACAATTCTGCAGGTGGAACACATATCGATGCATACATAGAGGTGTAACACATATAGAAAAGATCAGGGGTGGGAATGTCTCCAACAACCCCTATAGCAGGTCCCCAGTCTCCAACAACCCCTATAGCAGGTCCCCAGTCACAAACAACTGGTAAAGCATGCCACCAGTCTCCCAACAACCCCTATAGCATGTTCTCGGTCTCCAACAACCCCTATATAGCATGTTCTCGTAGTCTCCAACACCCCCTATAGAACGCCCCCAGTCTCCAACAACCCCTATAGCATGTCCCCAGTCTCCAACAACCCCTATAGCACGTCCCCAGTCTCCAACAACCCCTATATGTCTGTGAAAATGTCTTGTACAAATCATTCTGAATTGAAAAAGCTGGTTGGATGACCAGTGAAACGTCTTCAAGAAAAATACAGCAAGTCCAGTTGCGTTGACTTATTTTTTACAGATATAACAACCCCTATAGCATGTCTCCAGTCTCCAACAAGCCCTATAGCGTGTCCCCAATCACCAACAACCCCTATAGCATGTCCCCAATCACCAACAACCCCTATAGCCCGCCCTCAGTTTATAGCATGCCCCCAGTCTCCAACAACCCCTATAGCATGCCCCCAGTCTCCAACAACCCCTATAGCACATCCCCAGTCTCCAACAAGCCCTATAGCATGCCCCAAGTCTCCAACAAGCCCCTGTTACTCTCTCTTTTTGTCCTGGTGACCGTTATCACTGAAAGTGAGAGAAATTCCCAAATTTGTGGTTGTCACCAGAACAGCAATAGAGGGGAAATCTTCCAGTGGCGACACCAGCTCTACTGACCACCAGGGATTTTCTCTCACTTCCCGTTGTTACTATCAAACATGAAGCAGGGGGAAATTTCTCCAAAAGCTGACAGGGGTTATAACCCACCCTCACATTAACTTTTTACTTCAACTAAAATAAAAAAGTGTTTAGGCTTCAGTTCTACTTAACTATTTCATCTACATAAGACATTTGTCTCCAAAAAAAATCAATAAGAGGGAAAGAAAAAAAAAAAAAAAAAACGAACTGCGGAGTACAGAAAATCAGAATGAAGAAATAAAGTAATAAAAAAACAAAACAAAATTGAGTTAGAAAATAATCCAATGTGATGCGGGAACCCGCATTCGTACACATTCTTTGCCCCGGTTCCACCTTGCTTGCAATGGGTGCTGCATGCGCAACAAACGCATCAAAGTAGCTCATGCAGCATTTTCAGCTGCAAGCAACCCGTGCCTTTTCCCCTGCGCATTATACCAGCTGCGTTTGGGGGTTTATTAACGAGTAATGGCACCGCAAGTGCGACACATTGCGTTAACATGCGTCAAAGCATGCGCTTTGCCACGTCTTCAAGCAAGGCGAAGGTGTTTGAAGGAGAACTTATGGTGTAAAGCAGTGGCAGCTGACACCACTACAGATACATGATCTCTTCCTGGATTACTTTATATACATTGTATACCGTTTTTGGATTATTTCCGGGCAGCAATAGGAGACCAGAGACTCTATATCATACACAATAACAATATAATCCCCACAGGAGGCTGCCAGCAACACACAGCGCTCACCTGACTGCATTCACCACCGCATGTCTATCACCAGCACTGCTACCAGGGTGAAGGCAGGACCTGACGTCACTTCCGCTCCGGAGCAAAGCACTCTGGGGGATGTAGTTCTCTGGGCGCCGCGGCTCAGGCACTTGTTACTACTGTACAATCTGTACAAGGTGAGAGTATCTGCAGCCAGGACTTCTAATTCTCATCAGCTCTGCAGGGTGTGAACATTTGTCCATGGAAATGTCCCCTAATATGAGCCCAAAATACTGAATTTCGCTTGAAAAGTTTTAGCAGAAGTTAAAGAGTGGAGAGGGATTAGAACCCCTGTCAGGTTTTGAATGCTGCCTGTGTCCCCCGTTATGGAGATTGACCCTCTCTATTTGTCCTGTTGACCGTTATCACTGAAAGTGAAAGAAAATCCTTTGAGTTGTCATGAGAACAGGAAGAGATGGGAAATCTTCCAGTGGAGACACTGGTTCTGGTGAACACCAGGGATTGCCTTCACCTTGGCGGGATTTCCTCTAACTTCCTATTGTGGCTATTGGACAGGAAGTGAAGGGAAATCTCTCCAATAGGACACAGATGGCAATAGAAAAGCAGACAGGGGTTATTATAGCCCTCCCTTACTCTATCAAAAAATGGCTTCAGCTCTCCTTTAAAGGTCAGAATTGCTCCAGCATATACTGTGAACGGTACGTGATTCCGTTACGACACGTGGTGGCATCTGCTGTGTAACAGTACCTGCTCCAGGGGCCATCACTGGTGCTTAGATTGTTGTCCCGCAGGCTGGAAAGTCTGCTCAGGGTGAGGTTTCCATACGTTGCACTCTGATGGCATTGGCGAGATCTGAGACCTCTACCGTCGCACGGGACCCTTACTTCCTCTGTGCCCCCGGTCTGCACTTGCCGGAGGTCTTCTTTAAAATGGCAGAGGGGACACAAGGGGGGTGTGACCCGCATCCGGGTGCCACCATTGGAGGGGTAATTCCAAAAGATGTCACCAGCACTCCAAAAGTAGATTCAATATATTTTAATGACAACGGTCATTCAAAATCACAAGTACTTTCGGGGCCACGTTGGGTCCCCGTTATCAGGCTCAGAATAACACACTGTGCAACACACAGTGTGTTGCACAGTGTGTTATTCTGAGCCTGATAACGGGGACCCAACGTGGCCCCGAAAGTACTTGTGATTTTGATATTAGTTCAATCAGCTTCTCTCTTTAGTTTGTTCAGTTAAGCTTTGAAATGAAAAAGAGAAGCTGATTGGTCGGCATGGGAAACTGCTCCAGTTTTTTGGGGGAATTCATAAAAGCTGGAGCAGAAGGAATCTGTAGCAGTTGTCCATGGCAACCAATCAGCTTCTTTCTTCAGTTTGTTCATTTAAGCTGTAAAAATGGAAGGCAGAAGCAAATCAGTTCCCATGCCGCAAATCAGTCGTCATGGGCAACTGCTCCAGATATTGGGGGGGAATGGATAAAAACGTCAGCAGCCAGAATCTGGAGCTGTCAGCCACGGCAGCCAATCAGATTCTCTCTTCAGTTTGTTCAGTTAAGCTATGAAAATGAAACAGAGAAGCTGATTGGTCAGCATGGGCAACTGCTCCGGATATTGGGGAATTCATAAAAACTGGAGCAGAGGGGACATAGAGCAGGTGCCCATGGCAACCACTCAGCTTCTCCCTTCAGTTTGTCCAGTTAAGCTTTAAAAATGAAACGGAGAAGCTGATTGGTCGGCATGGGCCACTGCTCCAGATTTTGGGGAATTCATAAAAACTGGAGCAGTGGGAACGTAGAGCAGGTTTTCATGGCAACCAATCAGCTTCTCTCTTCACTTTGTTCGGTTAAGCAATGAAAATGAAACAGAGAAGCTGATTGGTCGGCTTGGGCCACTGCTCTAGATTTTGGGGTATTCATAAAAACTAGAGCAGAGGGAACGTAGAGCAAGTTTGTCCAGTTAAGCTTTGAAAATGAAAGAGGGAAGCTGATTGGTTGCCATGCAGAGCTGCTCCAGCTTCAGTCGGCTCCAGTTTTTGGTATATTCCTCCAACGTGCAAAGCGCAGTAACCCACAGCAACCAGTCAGTGGTCACCTTGATGACTGATTTAAAATGCACGACAGGCCAAATCTGATTGGTTGCTATTGGTTACCAAAATTTTGCACGTCGTTATCGCTCTCTGGCTTCCTTAACGGCAATGTTTTTACTTTTCTGTATCTCGTTCTGTCATCTCTCTCTCTCTCTCGCCCTCCCTGCTTTGCTGTTACCCTCCTACTCACCATTTTCCTCTCTCACTCTCTCTCTTTCCTCCTCTCGTCTCATTCCTGCATTCTCTTATTCCTCTGTAAGGTGCCACATCCTCCCTTGCAAGGTATGATCTCTATCCACCTAACAATATGACTGGCGGCGCCCTGATGTCTCCTGCCATGGAACTGCGATCTCGCAGCGCTCTGCCAGGCAGGCGACGCGTTTCACTGTGATATTTTGCGACTACTGGATCTCAACTTTTCACCGTTGTGCTGCAAGGTTTGTGTGGTGATCTGTGCGTGAAGGCTTTCTGGAGATATATATATATCTTCAGTACATCAAATCTGGAGCAGTCGCCTATGGCAACCAATCAGCTTCTGCCTTCAGTTTGTGCAGTTAAGCTTTGAAAATGAAAGAGAGAAGCTGATTGGTTCTAAGGAATGAGCCTTATTCAATGAGGAGGATTTCTCAAAACAGATTGGGGGGTAATGTATCAAAACTGGAGCCGATTTGCACTGCAGCCAATCAGCTTCTCTCTCTCATTTTCAAATCTTACCTGAGCAAACCGAAGAGAGATGCTAATTGGTTGCCATAGGCAACTGCTCCACATTCTGCCTGCTCCAGTTTTGATAAATAGCCCCCATAGAACGGGGCTCGTTGCTAGAACCGGATCTAGAGAATTAGGTGGTTGCCCAAAGCAACAAGGGAAATGCTGACTTTTGATGGCCAATGGCATCCGATTAGTGGCCCTGGGCAACAGCATTACTTAAGCCACAAAGGGCACTAACTCATAAGTCATCTCGGACCACAGGGGGCTGAAATGTTATTGGTTGCTATGGGTTACCGAACTTTGCTCAGCATCATTGCACACCCATGCTGAATAGGCCTGCGTGATTTATAAATAGGGGTGATGTTTGAGATCTGGCGCATTATTGATTGTTGTCATGGTGCTGCAGCAAATCAGATGCCATGTTTTAATATGCCGGAGCAGATTGGAGAATGAGACGTGAAATCTGATTGGTTGCTATGGACAACACTTTTCTTTTTTACCGTTTCTCTACTCTTCACACTTCCCCTCTCTGGTACATGGATGTGATCCCAGAACATGGCTCTGTATTTGTGTGTTGTTTATTCTGTTCAGTTCGTTTGATTATCTGCCATCATCAGATGCCGGTGTGACATAACGCTCTGCGAGCAGGGAGGAATCTATATCTGGCAGTGTGAGCGATGCTCTGCACGGGGCGCCATCGTCTCTCCTTCTGGACGCCTCTACAACTGTTATGCAAGATGACTGATATTGGCACAATGCTCTGCAACGCATGTCATGCTCTGCACGGCTTGTGACGCACTACCTAGTGAGCTTTTCTGGCATTTGAAGGGTTCAACAACGAGTGTCGCACTGCACAGCAAGAGGACTACAGGTCACAGCATACCCCTGACAGACAACATGCTGCAGCTGGCAGTTGGAGTGTGGTGACAAACCATTGAACACTTGTTTCATCCAAAAAGGAAACACATACCTGTTACTGTAACTCTGCTGTGTCATGCCTGTAGCCTCTGACCATCTCCTGTTGCATGCCCATATCCTCTGACCATCTCCTGTGTCATGCCTGTAGCCTCTGACAATCTCCTGTTGCATGCCCATATCCTCTGACCATCTCCTGTGTCATGCCTGTAGCCTCTGACCATCTCCTGTGTCATGCCTATAGCCTCTGACCATCTCCTGTGCCATGCCTGTAGCCTCTGACCATCTCCTATGCCATGCCTGTAGCCTCTGACCATCTCCTGTGTCATGCCTTTAGCCTCTGACCATCTCCTGGGTCATGCCTGTAGCCTCTGACCATCTCCTGTGTCATGCCTGTAGCCTCTGACCATCTCCTGTGCCATGCCTGTAGCCTCTGACCATCTCCTGTGTCATGCCTGTAGCCTCTGACCATCTCCTGTTGCATGCCTGGAGCCTCTGACCATCTCCTGTGTCATGCCTGTAGCCTCTGACCATCTCCTGTGCCATGCCTGTAGCCTCTGACCATCTCTTGTGTAATGCCTGTAGACTCTGACCATCTCCTGTGTCATGCCTGTAGCCTCTGACCATCTCCTGTTGCATGCCTGTAGCCTCTGACCATCTCCTGTGTCATGCCTGTAGCCTCTGACCATCTCCTGTGTCATGCCTGTAGCCTCTGACCATCTCCTGTGCCATGCCTGTAGCCTCTGACCATCTCTTGTGTAATGCCTGTAGACTCTGACCATCTCCTGTGTCATGCCTGTAGCCTCTGACCATCTCCTGTTGCATGCCTGTAGCTTCTGACCATCTCTTGTGTCATGCCTGTAGCTTCTGACCATCTCCGGTGCCATGCCTGTAGCTTCTGACCATCTCCTGTTGCATGCCTGTAGCCTCTGACCATCTCCTGTGTCATGCCTGTAGCCTCTGACCATCTCCTGCTACATGCCCGTAGCCTCTCACCATCTCCTGTTGCATGCCTGTAGCCTCTCACCATCTCCTATTGCATGCCCGTAGCCTCTGACCATCCCCTGATGCTTGAATATAGCCTCTGAACATCTTCTGTTGCATGCCTGCAGCAGCCTCACTAGGCCGGGCGTCACCCGGTGTGCATGTCATTACGTATACGTCACATGCACTTCACCACCGGTGGCCATCTTGGTGATGGGCGCCGGCAAAGAGAAGAGGGGATGTTCATCCGGCAGGATAAGGTATGCAGCCGGGCTCCCTCCTATCGGGCTCCTGGTCCACGAGTGCCCGGGTTTTCAGAGGGGGTGACACCAAAGTGACAAGTGTCAGTCATTTTGGTGTCACCCCCCTCTGATGGTGTCACCTGGTGCGGGCCGCACCCCCCCTTGACCATCTCCTATTGCATGCCCGTATCCTCTGACCA